GTATGTGAGTGTTCGCGCGCGTGTGTGTGTGTACAATAAATATTTGTACACGTATGTTTGAGCATGTGTACTTGTGTGTGCTTAATAGTTGCTCGAAAAACTTGAAATTTCATAAAACGCCTGCTTGGCGCGTGAAACATATGCTGGTAAGTACGCCTAGTAGTAGGCAAGGCTTGTAATATAAGAAGTTTGCTGAAAGGCGCCGTTCACTCTCTACTTCTCTCTCTTTCTTTTCCCCTTGCTCCCCCATTATCCTTCAGCTATCCTTCCCATCGCTATGGCCAGCTGCTACTTTGTTGGCTTGCGGCTGTTTCGTTCAATTTTCGGCTCTTTTCCCTTCCTCCAGCGCCCGTCGCCCTTCTAGGTTTTACAATTTCACTGTCTGTGTTTTAGCCACTCGTAAGATTTATGTTGCATTTAACTGTGATTATTTTGATTAGTTTTGCGGCCAAATTTTGGCAACGCTCATAGTCTGTGATGGCCATAACTTATTGCCGTTTATTTAATTCGAGTTGAAGTTCGTTGCTGGTTTGTCTTTTTTGTGGATATAAGGTTTGGTCCACGCGATTTTTGGAACTGAAGTTTGGTGTAGTTGTGTTTATGTACAAGTATAAGATTTGCAGATGATTTCAATTTAAATTTATAACCTACCATAGAAATCCATAAAGAAGGCTTATGAAAATCTTACGGTGTATATGATAAACACTGCATAACACGTACATATGTATGTACTACAAACTCGAGTTTATTGCAAATTTTAGTGTTGGAACATTATGCACAAACATCTGTTTAAACATACAAAAAAAAAAAAAGTTATGAAAATACAACCCTGTTTTGTTGGAAAGCTTTACGTCATTGTTGATCAACATTGTTGAAAACTTAGCTTTGATGGTTCAGACAATTTGTATATGGAATGAATCAGGCAAAGTGTTAAATTAACATTTCAGTTGACGTAAACAACCCTGCTCTTTTAACGTTTATGAAAATACAACCCTGCAGTTACACACAATTTGAGTGTTTTGAAGTGCTAATTATTATACTCAGAGTTGCTTAAGGAGTTTAATGACAATTTTGAGTTGAGTTTCTCACAAACTTGAGTTCAGTTTTCCATAAACTCAGATTGAGTTTCTCACAAACTCGTGCTGAGTTTTCCATAAACCCGAGTTTAACTTTCCATGAACTTTCACTACGAACTTTCTGCTAGTTGTTGGGTTAGAGCCTGGGTCAATTGAATTTGAATGAAAAATTAGTATGTTTCATATTATCAGCACCGAGGGCGACTATCACGTAGGCACTCTTTCGATTGACTAGAAACAAACAAAACCATTTGGAGTCACTTAAATAAGTCAGGATAAAATAATGTTTTTTCTGTGTGTTTAGTATGGTTGGGCAGAATCGTTTACTATGAGCCGCTCGCCTGTGGCCAAACTCTTAATTCAGATCGGTACTGTATCAACAATTGGAGCGTTTAAAAGAAGTAATCACTCAAAAGCGGTCAGCTTTGACCAATACGTGAGTAATTGTATTTCAGCAGGATAGCATCGGAGCACACATCTCAGGTCAGAAAGCCTAAAACTGAAGATGATGGATAGTTTATGACACAGTACTCCTCGGTCAACCCTCCCCATAAGATTTGATTCATTCGTAAAACAGCTCACTGCCCCGTTTCTCTAGCGAGTTCGCAAAAGATTTTAGAAGACAATTTTCTGACAAACTCTACAACCATGATTGAAAAAAATGACGAAAACTATTTTTTTCAATAGTTTCAATATTAAATAACTTGCTACAGATTTAAAATTTTATAAATCGTACTGAATAAATAAAAATTTGGTTAATATAGCCGATGCTTAATTTCACAAATTATGTATTTGGATTAACATAAATACCGATCAAACCAATTTGGTTATTAAAAAAAAACTCGGAAAACAGAATCATAACAAATGGGAGCTGCATAATCCTTAAAATCACATGCAATACATAAAAATCCAGCAAATCAACAAACAAAAGATATATGAAGACTCACTTGGAATCATATACACACAAGCACACACACACATATACAAGTAGATGCCACCACTTTTATAAACGACTGTAAATTGTTAAAAAGGCTGCCTGAAATCCCTGCAACCGCATATCAAACACACACAAGCACAAAATCGTACAAGCGGAACATTGAACGGCAGCGCTAGAAAAATAGAGCCCCAAACGCCAGCGGCAATGGCAGCAACATTCCCAAATGCGTCGGCATAGAGGAAATACGCTAAAATATGAATAAAAGCAATGTGACAACAATAAATGTCGCATGCTATATTTTTTTCCCTTTATTGCACACTCTTACACACCGTTATTGTTGCTGCTCATGCGTTAGCCATTTTAATTTTTTTCTGTTGTTGTTGCTTTCCTTAAGCTTTGTTTTTGTGAATTTGCTGTAGTGTTTTATGCTGTGCGCTGCTGTTGCGGCCTGTCATGTCATTTCATGGATTAAGTAATTTCTATGCGAATTATAATGGCATTGCAAGCACAAACACTAGTGCATACACACAATTTCATATATGTATGTAAGTATTTATACGCTGAGATTTATAGTATTCATGCTTCATGCCCATTGTAAATATGTATCTATAGATATTATAGCGCCTTTTTCAATTACAGCTTCTGTGCATAGGCATGAACACATTAGGGTGATACTGAAATTTGAAAAAAAAACTTAAAAATTCTTAAACTCAACTCTTGCTATGACACTGAATAATACAATATAATCGAAAATTTTTCATAAAAATATTGATGCCTATTTGAACTCTCTGGGATGCAACTTTATAGTTTTATAGGCAGTGCAAAATTTGTATGCGTGATATTTGTTTCCGCTATGACCATTTATATTAATAAAACTTAAAAAATCCACCATACCATTTTTGAAGTATCTACCACCCTAGTACACAAACAAATGTAGAATGCGGTGATTAATGCGGATGTATTTCAAGCCAAACGGTTGTATATTTTTATGCAAAAATGCCTTTTGATTCATTGACTTAACACAAAAGCCCTAATGTTTCACCATACACTCGTTTAATATATTTTCAGCATTTTGGAGGACAAAGACTTGGATTAGGCATTTAATGCGACTTGCTATTATTTATGTTTATTATCGTTTAGTCGATCACGCTTGACACTCGAGTGCATTGTGGGTGGCGTTGCGATGCTTGATTTTTCTCAGAAAATGTTTGTACAAATAACAATAACAGCAAGTACAATAATACATATATTGTAATTGGTAATATGCAAATATGGGGACTATAGTAATCCTTAATACTGGTTCATACTCGTGCTCACTGATAAATCAAATTATTAGTATTTTAATTATAGTAAGAGCTGGTGACACAAGATTGCGAATTTTTAATATGAAGTTAATCTAGGGCAATATCGCCAAAAAAAAACTCTACAAATTATCGATAAATTAAATTATATATGTATATACTAAGTTTTGTACAGAACAAAACCTGTGGATTTTGGCGACATAAAAATATTAAAAATGTTGATTAAAAATTGTTGATTAATTTAATTCTTATAAATTTATCAAAAAACAATATATTACTATGAAATTTGCATTTAACCACGAACATTAAAAATATCGATTAAAAATTATCGATTAATTTATTTCATATAAAATTATTGTAATAAAAATAGCGATATCGATTTGTATGTATATTTCAATAAACATTATTTTTTATATAATATATTGTTAAAACTAATAGTTAAATAAAATAAAAACATTTACATACGTATACTAAAATGTACGAACAAGAATTAAAAATTGAAGGTAAAAAAATTAAAATAAATTATCGAAAAATATGTTTAAAGAGAAATTGAAATGAGTGGAAAAAACAATAAGAATTTTGACTAAGTACGACTACGTGTTCCAAAAATACACTTGGTAAAATATTAAACTAATTAACCAAAGAAGTAGAAAATATCGAAATCGATTGTAAAAACACATTTTCGATTAAAAATTTCTAGACAAAATTTTTTCAATAAATAAAATTAAGCTCTCGTGAACCGTTTTGTTTCTTCTATTCTAATATACATTTTTCTGTATTTCCGATTAGATGGCAAGGTTGCGAATTTATTCTTCTAGTAACAAATATTTATAGCCAAAAATAACTATTAATTAATGCGTTCGAGTTTAAAAATAAAGTTGGTAAAATTATTAAATTAATTAACGACATAAATCTTAAATACCAAAATCGATTATTTAAAATAAATTTCTCGATTACAAATTTTAGGCAAATTCTATTAATTAGTTTAAAAATATATATGTATTTAAATGTTTCCGATTAATTGGCAAGGCCGCAAGGCTATATTTTTCTAGTAGCTCATATTTGTTTGTTGAAATAGCTATTGATATATTTGATACATATGTATTTAAAAATTGGTAAGATTATTAATTTAATTAAAGAAAAAATATATTTTCTTTCGAAATCGATTGTGAAAAATTAATTTATCGATTAAAAATTTTAAAGCAAAGAGTTATCAATAATTATTAAAATTGAGCTTTTGTGAATCAATATATTTCTATTTTTTAATCACTTTATTTCTATTTTTAAATTTTTCTATATTTCCTATTATGTGGCAAGGTCACGAAGATATATATTTTTTAGTAACACAGATGTAAGTACAAATAGCTTTTATTTGGTACATACTTTGTTAACTTACTTAACAAAATATTGTAGGGGTGGCAACCTCTTGTTATTTTTTTTAATTTCAAAAATTTTCGTAATATTAAAATATTTTTTTAAACTACATATTACACCTTTATCTTCAATGTTTTGAATATTTTTTATATTTAAAATGAGGTGGCAACTCTATTAGTATATGTCTTAATTAAATCTTACTCAAATGTTTTTTTTATAGCATAATTCGAATTTTTAATAAATTTGTTGTATCAAACTTTTTTATTTAGATAAATGTGGCAACCCTTTTCAATTTGATTTCTTTAAACTTACCTTGCGCAGAAACATTTCGTTGCATTGCTTGGCGGTGCTGCGCCAATGTCTGTGCCGATAACGCGAATTGCCCAATTTCAGTGTGCCATGCAACTCGGCCGCTTCCTCGACGATACGTTTGATGCACTGATAGCGCAGTCGATTACAACGGTAAATCGGTTTCAATGCCATCGTGCCCTGTTCGGGCTCTGATTCGGCACCGGAACGCACTTGTTCTTCGTCGTCGTCCACCCACGCGCTCAACACACCCTCAACGAAATTGTACAGCATCTGAATGTTGGCCTTCATCGGCGCCGAACCGGACGGAACTTGTTCAGTTTTGATTAGTTTACGATTTTGACAAACTTCGCGTAGTAAATTCTCACCGAAATGCACCGTTTTGTGACGACGTCGACGGGAATTTAACGATGCCGCCGATGCGGACTTCATAAGTTTGCCGTTTGTGCCGTTCAGATGTGATATACCGTTACCGTTGCGACCGTTATAGTAGTGGCGACCATTGGCCGCATGCGTGATGTGTAGTAATGAAGGCGGCAGCGGTGGTTGTGAGCTCGACAAAATGGTATGCGTTGCTATACCGGTAGTCAACATAGGACCGCTCCCCACCGTGCCCATAGTGTCCTGATGCCATAAGGCGGCAGCTGAGTCTCCACGCTGCAGCGTATTCGGCTGGGAATTGCTGCGATATTGCATGCCGGGATGGTGTGGCATTTGTGGTGATGGCGTCTCCGGCGCCGGTTCGATGTCGTCGAGCGTTGTCGGCGGCTGAGCGAGTGTGGTGCGCAGTCGATTGAAATCCGCTGCGCTGCGGGGCAGTGAGTTGCACTTGGCGGCATTGAAGCATTTACGATTCTGGCAGGTAAGTAACGGCGCACACGATCGACACTCATGACAAATAACGAGGCGTCGCTGGGGTGCCGACTGAAATTGTTGTTGTTGGTGTGACGTTGGAGGCGGTGGTGGTGGCGGCGTTGGTGTGTCATCCGACGTTATGTGTGCAGGCACTGTGTGCATTTGTGCGCGCGCCACTTGTTGATGACGTGCGAGGTTCATCGTTGAGGCGGAAGTGGTCACTGTCATGCCGGCGCCGCGTTCTATTGTTTGACATTCGAGGAAACGGCAGTGGGGATCAGTGCAAATGGGAAGCAAACGGCAGGCGGGATCATTGCAAGGCGATGGCGAACGCGGCGCACGTTCCGCCGATGAAGATTTGCGTTTAAGGCCGCCATTGTGATGACCGGACATGTCCGAGACGGTGGCCGAACGTTGTGTCTGATGGCGACGCGAACGTTCACGCTTCGATTCGCGTATAGTAGAGCTGGTGGCGGCAGTGGTCATAGCGCTCTCCTTGGGAGGCAACATTATATCCTTGACATCCTTAGGCACATACTGATAACGTTCCTTGTGTGGTTTAGCATACAAACGCTCCAATTGGCTTTGCGCTGCGGCAGAGGTGGTGGGTGCAGTCACAACTTCACTAGCGGAATGTCGCAGCTTGCGTTCGCGCGAACGTTCATGTGATCGCCGCTCGCGTTCAGTGCATATAGGCTGTTGGTGTAGTTGTGACTGCAGCGGCGGTACTGCTGGCTTGTGATGTAACTCGACGAAAGGCTGACGTCGGTCCATCGTACCGATCTGTTGTGGTGGCTTGCCTAACGATTGCAGCCTATTTAACGGATACGCAATCCAGTCGAGCATCTCTTCCTCGCTGCGGTCACTATGACCCAACGAGTGCCGCTTGCGCGCCGCCTGTTGTGCGACAGTGGCATCTTCTTGCGAATGCGAACGTTGCGTATCACCGCTGCCATTGCGTCGATGATGCGCGCGACGCGTTTTTGGCGGTGGCGCTTCTTCACGCGCCGAGCTACGTGATGAAGTCTGCAATTTCGTTAGCCATTCAACAATGTCGGTTTTGAGCAATGAAAACTCGCTATGTTGAGCAGAACTTTGTCTAGATAATGGCTTCTTCAACAGCTCAGCCAACTCCTCCTTCAGCGCCTTGGCATAGGAAGCAGCGCTCGCCTTCGATTCAGTTGGCCTTTCGGCCATGGAACGTTTGCGTGGCAAATGCTCTAAGAGCCAGTCGGGTACCTCATCCTTCATTACAGTAATCTCACTAGGACCAGAAGATGTGCGCACCGGCCCTCTCTGGCGCGCTAACCACTCGATAGTTTCTTCGCGCACCGCGCCACTTTCTGCCGAACGAGCTGAATGTCTTTGTTGCGCTTTACGATCGAACCATTCCAATTCTTCAGGTGCTCGCGTCGTGCTTTTCGATACCGGCACCTCCTCAGCGCTCTTCTGGCGGCGCGGTGGCAACTGCGGCTTGCCGCCCTCCGCTCCATGACGGTGTACATGATGCTGATGCACATGTCCGTGTCCATGTGCACGATAGACTTGCGGATGCGCTGCCGCTGCTGACGCCGCAACCGAAGCTTGGCGTGGTGGTGGCTCTGGTGGTAAGCGGACAGAACCTTTACGCTTAATTACTTTTTGCTCGATGGTGTCTTCATCACGTGCACGCACGCGCCGCGTTATCTCAAATATATCGCCATTGATTTGGTGATAGAACTTCTCAACTTCCACGCCGCGGTCGAATTCCTCCTTTATATGACGCACATGCGTTTGCGATTTTATGCGTGATGGTGGACGTGGCGGCAACTCAGGCTCCTTCTCATCATCGCCGTCGCCATCGGAGTCGGCTGAGCCGAGCTGCGCGCCTGAGCCGCCACCATCAATGACGCCGCCCATCGAGTGCACGGCTGAGGCGCTTGGTCGTTGTTGAAGTTGCTGTTGTGGCGCTAATTGCTGTTTTTCTTGCTGCTGCAAGAGGCGATCCAATGAGCCATGATGTGTCTTCAGCGCCGGGTCCAGCTGACCCAATTGTGCCTGTTCCAGCGACTGCATTGGGCACTGGGCATTACAAATGCAGACGCCGCGCTTTTTACTGCCAAAACGGAAAAGGCTACTCGCTAGCTGTGACACACCATCACCGAGTACACCGCCGCCACCACCACCACCGCTGCCGCCAGCGGTTACATCCCTTCCCGAGGCCGTTGTTGCCGATGTCAAACGCGCGGACTGTGAAACTGGCGTTATGTCGACTATCACGCAACAGCAATGCAACGAGAAGGACTTCTTATCGCTGCCACTGCCGCTAACAGAATTGTTGTTATCGCTTTCGCTGTTATGTGAGGCGGCCAGAATGAGCGGCTATTCAGTACAGGCGACGCACAGGCGGCTCGACGTCGAATGTGTTGTGCCCGGCGTATGTACGACGTCCAGCGGCGTAGTGTAGTGTTGTGCGTTTGTATGTATGGTGGTCGTATAACAGCGCGTCTACAAAGCGCTACTAAACGCGTACGCTTACGTGCGTTTATCTTCGCTGCCCGACTTTTATAGCTGTTTTTTGCCGCGCGCCTCTGGGTTTGCGGTAGCGCTGTATAGGTTACGGATGCTTTACAGTTCAATTTGCTGTTGCGCCACCGAAACTGGTAAAGCGCTGCAGCTAATGATGATTGGGCGAAGGCGCTGGTTAGTGGTGCGTTGGAGTGGAAGTTGGTCGGCAATGACGCGCGGTTTATTTGTGCTTTTTTTGTGAACGTTTGCGTTATACGCGCGTGAGCGCAAGCTTTATTCAAGTTACGGAGTTGGTGTGATAGGTGTGCGTTAAGGCTGCGTCCTTGCCGTTGGGGCGGGTAAGCTTTGCTTGCTCGGTGCGAAATGTCTACACTCCGGCGGGTACTAGCTTTGCTTATTTTTCTAATAGATTTTGTGTTTGGCAATTTGTGGCGCGCTTGTAATGCAACCAAAAACATGCCAATGTGCGTTGTGTCCTGCAGCTGTATACGTTTACGTTGCAGCCATTTCAAGCTTGTGCGCTTAATTTATTTACTTTCTAAAGACTTGTTTGTGATTATTGCAAAGCTTGTATTTATGTTATTTATTTTCATTCAACATATAATTGAATTATTAATTTTTGTTATTTCTTTGTTGCCTATATTTAGGGTTTATGCAATTTACTCTAAAAAGCTCTTCGTAGCACTTTCTTTGATAGCACCAATTGCGTTTTTGATTTACAATTAAAAATGTTTACATATACTTTTATTGCGTTTTAATATCAATCTCTTTAACTACTTAATCGCACTAGTGTTAACTGAAAAACTGTGTATGCGCGTCAAGCTTTTGTTCCTACGTCGCCGACCATTGACCGTAACGTCGCTAGGCGGCAATTCGTGTCGCTATTCTTAGCTGATATGATTGCACGTCGTCCACTAGCGGCGCGCTATCGACGTCGTAGAAGCGCTGACTCAAAAGTTGTGCGTGCGTGCTTGACGCTGCACTGCGCTTTATAATCAATGCAAATTATAGGCGTTCGAAGAAAAAAAAAATATATGAATATTTTTGAAGCTAAGCCACAAAATCACTACGTTTAGTTTCTGTATTTTTGATTTCATGAATTTTTATTGTATTTTGTTATAATTATTATTATTATTTTTAAACACTTTGTATTAGCACCTTTTTTGTAGTTTATTTCAATTTTTTATTAATTTCTTTAATTATTTTTTACTATTTTTGGCTCTTGCGCGTCTGATATATTTAACTACTTATATGATATTTTTTTCTAACACTTATTTAAAATTTTGTTTGTAAATTATTTTAAATTTTTTGCTCACTTTCGCTGTTTCCATTTTTAGGCGATTAGCGCTATCGGGTTTTTTTCGCATTTCTAAATAAACATTTATTTATATATTTATTGACTATTTGCATAATATTTGCATAATTATACGTTAATAAGTTAACTGTTATATTTTAACACTTAATAGACACCAATAAGAATGTTTTTGCTATTTTATTGAATTATTTCTTTTTCGCTAGTTTTGATTATTATTAATTTTTAATGGCCATTTATAGCTAAATTAATTATTGAAACATAAAACAACACTATCGCTCTTGAGTTATTATTTATAACACACTTAACGCTGACAAAATTAATATTTGTTTTATTTTTCACTAAAATATACCTTAAATCGTTGCTAATTTAAAATACAGTCACACGCAGTTCTCGTGGCCATTGCCGTATTCTATGTGAAGCACCACGCCTATATAGATTTATATATTTATACTCTGGCACATATTAGCATAAATTTCATTGCTTTTTGAATATTTTCAATCACTTGGCATGACATCCAACCATTTTCACTTCAACTTTTTGCACTAACTAGATTTCGTATTCGTAAAATTTTGATTAACTGTATTCAGTGCCATATTTGCACAATAGTGCACTCTATTTCGTTTATTATTTATTATGTGTGTGTCTTACACTTCGATAGTCGCATATTTTCAAATTGTTCGAAAGACCAAACTGTAGTTGAAATGAAGAAATTCTTTTTTAGTATGTGTGCAAGTGTAGTTGTGTGTAGAAACGCCTTGTTCAATAACCAACAACAAAGGCGAATTATTTAATATTTTACAGTAAAACCTGTAAAACCGATTTGAAAGTCAATTAAACCTAGCCAAGTCAGTATGAAGTCTTTAAGTACGAGTATAGTAAAGGATAAACATTTTTGCTTAGTCTACTTTTAGGCTAACCAAATTTACTTTTATGAAACTTCTTACTAACCTAATTTATTTCAATACTACTAACTACCTAGCCTATATTTAGTCTAATCACAATTACTTATATGAAACTACCTACATTGCCAACCTTCAGGCTAACCATATTTACTTCTATGAATCTACCTTTAGGCAAACTAAATTTACCTTTATGCACGATACCTACCTAGTCTACCTTTAGGCTAACCAAATATACTTCTTGAAACCCATATTTTTAACAATACACGAAGGTATTATATTTCACTCCTGCTGCAGAGATTTGAAAGTCTCTATGGTAAATAGTGAAAGCGAAAAATTGTGTCGGTACAAGCATTAATTGCATAGTATTTGTATTATACTGTGCAATTAATTGACTAACATTTTTTAATAGAAACTTTTAGTGAGATAATAGAAAAATTTAAGTACACCCCAAACACAAAATTTCAAAAAAGTTATTTATTCAGTATGAGTTATATAAATAAATAATATTTGAAGCAGCGATTCATTATAGCAATTGAATGTTGGCGAATCCTATTTATGGATAGTTTATCAGAAATTCATTCAAACACAGAATTTTATAAACAAATAATAATAATGAATCGCGGTAATTAGAAATAATACCTAAGAAATTTAGGAAATTCTCATTAGCAATTTTAAATATCTGTAAAAAATAATAGCTTAGGTGTCATAATAAGGCTACTATAAAATGCATTTCCGATTTGCTTCTGTAATCAATCACTTACACAAGTTCTGTTATCACACTCTGGGTATATACTTAAGATGAAAAATTACCAGGACTGACCCATTAAAACTAAAAACGAATACCAGTATAAATTCGAGTAGCATATGTATTCAGTGAAGGACATGAGCTCATCGAAAAGTTCTAGAGTTGACATCAGAGATAGCAGAGAATCTCAATATCTCAAGCAGATCGACTCAATTGCTTAATTTTTTGGAATAAAACGTATTAATGCTAGACTCACATACTAACATGATTTTGACTGACTGTTTGACTCAACGAGAAACGAGAGTCATCGCTAAGCCATCCCATGGGTTTTTGGGAATACAAAAATCATAGGACAAACTCTTCGCGCCGTAAGCTAACAACTGCCAAATACATGATAATTCACATATGGAGACCAGGCATCACACAACCATCAAAAAGGGTTGTACGAATCTAGTAAAAAAAAAATTGTATTGAGTCAATTTGCGCACGTAGTTTATATGAAATAATACGGTTCAAATTTAATCTTGGATTTCTTCTTTAAGTAAAGCCGCTCGTTTTTGCATAAAATAGTAGAGAAGAAATGTGTATGCAAGTGAATACGCCTTGAGTAGCTAATTTTTGCAAGCTGTAGGGGGGGAAAAGAATTTTATCAATATTCGTATTTAGTCTCAAAGAATTTATGGTACCAATTTGAATAAGCAATAATAGATGGATTGAAGCAATTGCTATAATGGAATAATGAATGGTAAAGTGAAGTGGAATATGAAAAATCATGTAAAGATGGATTATCAACCACAAATTTTCTCCATAATCACTGCACTTAATCAATAGGTATCTTAAGAAATACAAACGGCCATCCTTAAAAAAAATGTCACTTGGAGCCTAAAAGGATTCTCTTTAAATTGACATGAGTTCCGATCAATGCGAACTAAATTTGTAACACAAAACCTTACGGTTATGAAAATATGTTGGCCTTTAAGTATATGAGAACTTTAAACTTTAGCTTCCCTCTTAGTTGTTTTCTTGCAATTTAATAGCTGAAACTTAAAAAACTAAAAACAAATTTATAAAAAAAATTAAAATATGCATGTGTGTCAGTTGATGGCATTCAAATTTGTGCAAGCACTTGTAGCCGCGTGAAAAATACTGCACATACGCAGAAAGGAAAAAAGTTCAAATTGCACGAGCGGAAATATACGAAAAATACCAAACAATATGCGCAGGCACACATACACGCACGAACGTATTTTCATTTTATATATCGCTTGCGCATGCAACCAGCCCAACGCCCGCCGCACAAGTCAGCGCTGAACGCAACAAACACGTCCGTGCGCCTGTGCGTATGCTTGTTTGCTTGGTTGCCGATATGAAACGGTGAAGGACATCCGCTGCGAGGCTTTATAACACATTCTTTGCATGCGTGCAATAGCTGACGAAAAAACAACATAAACAACGCAACACAACACACACACACATGTATGTTATAATTTCAGCACATGCGTATGCATGTGTATGTGTGTGTAGGCACTGTAAAATGTACAGCATGTTAAAAAAGTAATAATAAAAGGTAGAGAAGCAAAAAAAAAACAAAAAAAAAACGAGGAAAAATTTAAATAAAAAGGCAAGAAAATTAAATGCAAAAAATTGAAGGCAAAAACCTTCTCTATTTTGCGTTTACGTTTTTGGCGCAAGGACATCGTCAATGATTGTCGAAGTTGTTGTTGTTTGTGCTGCCAGTTGATGGTCGTCGCTGTTGGTTGCCTCGCACACAAACACATTCATATATATATATATATATGTATATACTTGTATATCTACTTTCGTTATGGCTGCTGAACAGCGACTAGGCGTTGGTGCCGCTGCCGGTGGGCCGTTGGGGCGTTGTTGTTAGCTGTGTATTGTTGCAAAATTATTGCTTCGAAAGGGAAGTGGAAAAGGAAGCAAGCCTTGTTTGCAAACAAACAAATAAATGCCCACTGACATATTGCTAATACAAATGCACATTGCGTTCTTATATGTGGAAATGTGTACACGCACACACACACATACAAGCAAACTAGTGTGGATAGCATATATAGTTAGCATATATAGCTAGAATATATATATTTCATGCACTCTCTCCCATATAACGTTTAATATTGACAACTGTCACAGGCAACACACACACACACATACAAACATGTGTATGTGTATCCAATATAAATCACAAAATGCCAACAATTAATGACAAATAAGTTAAGAGCAAGTCGGTTTTGCATCCAGCAATCACTCAACTCAAATTAATAACCGATCAGTTGATGAAAAAAATATGAATCTGCAAATATTTATGTTTGTAAGTCGATGATTTTTTACTGAAATAGTTTGTTGCACTTGCAGCTTGATCAAAACGTAGCCAGTTGGGTTCATTGAACACGAAATTGAATAAGGTTTAGTCTTTTTGAAGAAATATTTCAAGCTTTTTGTGTTCGAAATTTGGACCGTCCTCAAAATAGTTGCTGCGTACAGCGTCATCAATGCCAATAGCAAATGTGCGTGCTGGTATTGTTCAATAGCCAAATAGTTTGAGAGCTTGTGTGAAAGCAGCATGGTGACCATTTTCAGTAAAATTTTGTACAACATTCATTTAATATGTGCGTTAATAAATAAAACTTACTTTATTGAAAAACAGATTATAGTTTCATTTTTATAACGACCTGAACTTGTAACAGAACTTATGGCAGTACTAAGTATACTGTATTTTGCTTGACTTTTATTCTTGTAGTTGTAAAATACGATTATATTCAATTCAATTTCACTTCATTATTTAATTTTAGCTCATTTGATTTAACTTGATTTTACTCAGTTCTATTTCATTTTACAAAATTTACATTACTTTGTCTATACTGCCGTGGTTTGAATTAATATTATACAATATAATTCCAATTTCTATTGTTTCCATTAAATGTAATCCAGCGATTTATTTCATAATTATTTGTATTTATTTTAATTAAGTTAAATTTACTTAATGTGCATTACATGGATTAAGATTTGCTTTCATTCGATTTGTTTTCAATTATTTCTAAATTACTATTCAATTACTTTGATTTAATAAATTCTTTATGAATACAGCGGTAAAAGATATTCTAAATTTTAAATAGTTATATTTGAATTAGTCCTGGTTATCAGTTAAATTTATTATAATTTCATTTATATTAGTTACTTTGTTTAATTTCATTCATCAATTTTAACTTCTTCTTTCGGCTTTATTTCATAATTATATTATTTTTGAAAATCAAATCCAATTTTTAATTTCTTGCCATTGAAATGTTTGTAATTTATGGGTTGTTCATTTTCAATAATTTTCTTTATATTTATTTTTGCTTTGCCTTATTTGTTATCTATGTCACCAGTTTTTATTATTTTATTTTTTATACCCTGAACAGGCTATATTAAATTTGCCACGAAATATTTAACACCCATAGGGAAACGTCGTAGACCCTATAAAGTACAATATATACTCGTATATAAATGATCAGCTTGATGAGCTGAGTTGAGTTAGTCATGTCCGTTTGTGAGTATGTATATACGAGAACTAGTTACACAGGTTTTGAGATGTTGATCTGAAATTTTGCAAGAAGCTGATCATTTGTCTGAACCGCCGATATCGGACCACTATAGCATATAGCTGCGATACAAACAGAACGATCGGAATCATGTACTTGTATGTAAAAATTTTTTATTTGAGGAGATATCTTAACAAAATTGTACATGGCTTATTTTCCAAAGCAACGCTAGGATATTCGAAGAAAATTTTTAGATCGGATTACTATAGCAAATAGCTGTCATACAAACTGAATGATGAATACCAAGATAAACTTCTTTTTATACACTCTAAAGCTTTTAAAAAACCACCTGTGAAGGATATTTTTTATTGTGTTAGATTCATTTAACTTAATTTAATTATGAGCATATCAGAAACATTACTTTTAAATATATGTGATTTGAGCTTTCATACAAAATTTCATATTTAACACCGCTTTTCAGAAGAATGGAGTGCTCAATAA